TAATTTCCACCAAAATTACTGTTTGCCAGCTTTGTAGTGTTGTGCTTGGATATAGACACCTCCTTTTCCATGTGAGCTTCTCGGGGTGTTTGAGTTTTCTAACAGCCTTTTTAAGTTAAGGAGTTCACTGATAGCAAAATGAGGCAGTAGAGTTGTGTGAAGAGTTTGATACTCTGATGTATTGCAGAGATGAAGATATTTTTCCCCTCTAAGCCAATCATTCTGTCAGAGTTGCTTTTGAATAGTCAGAGGTAAAGTTGTAGAAAGGAAAAATCTGAATTGTATTTACTAGAAACTGATAAAATTGTTGAAAATGGTATAATAGCTCTGTGAGAACATCTTAGTTGGTTAAACCTGTAATTAAAAGGATGAGGACAACATGACTGTTTTGGTACTCTGTAAACTCCACCAGTTTGTAGAATGGAGTGTCAGATCTGTTGCCATACAGTATGTGAGTAGCCAGAGGAGAAAGTGTGAACTCCTGTGTAAAATTTTCGTCAGAACTATAATGCATTTTAGTAACTTTGGATTTTTTGAGTCTGTTTCTTGTATTGAAATAGAAATCAAAAATCTGGAATTGACAGCAGAGAACAAAGGCAGAAGGATAATGTTAAAAACACACCAGAGCCTGTTCGGATGATTGAATTTTAACAAGTCTTTGTTAGTAGGTTTTTCTTGACAGAGTGTTTAAAATTGTCACACACTTTGGGAAGTGGAGTTTGGGAGTTTCTGACTTGCATGTTTTATTTCAATGTCTTCTGCTCCTTTGGCTTCTTACAGCATGCCAAGGGGTTTCAGCTGAGTCTTGGGTCTGTTTGTCCTGAGAGCCTGAGCATTGTGTCTGTACATTAGATAAACTACTGTTTAGAATGTCTAGTGGAAACAAAATTCAGGCTAAATTCCTAGCCTGATTTTAAAATTTAGAAAGGATAAATTGACTTGGAACCACAATGATTAATTTGCTTTCACTGTGGAGCAATTTGAGGAAATGCTAACCACTCCTTGCTATTAGGAGTTGAATCCATTTTTCTGAACACTAATATACTAATAGGTTTTGAGGACCTAAATCTGAATTTGCTAATACAGAATTTACATAAATGGCTCTAATTTACATAACAGTATTTTGCAAATTCAGTGCCTGGCATTGATTTTCTGCCAAGTGGGAGCATTGTAACAGATGGTGGAATTTTCCACCAGCCAGGTGATAACCACTGTAAAGGAGGTATTTGTCTTCCTCTAAGTCCTTGGCTTAAGGAAGGGGCTCAGTTATGCAGCAGAATTACACTACTATATTTGTTATTTGAGTTATCCAATTTGTTTTACATATATGGAGTGATAGGAACGCATTATTATGAATGAAGCTTAAATAATCTGATTTTCAGCTTTTCCTGACAATTTTCACCCTTTCATCACTATCTCAACTGACAGAAAAATGTGTGGATAAGCTTCTATCAGGAGTAACATAGTGACAGTTCAAACATTCGAGGCCATTATGCTCTGTGCAATAGAAATGTAGTTTAAAGTATTTGCAGTTTTTCTTGGATCGAGGAATAGTGGAGTAGTAAATTGCTCGTGAGTGATGGGGAGCAAATATTCTCTGTGGAGATGCTTGGCTTCTATCATTCAGGTTGTGCTGGCTGGAGAACAAGAACAGATGGCAGCTGGCAGTGTAGCAGCAGGTGCAGCAGCAGTAAAAACAGATTGTTGTCCTCTGATTAGGTCATGTAGAGGTTTTTCCCATTTCTTTTCAGATCTGCTTGATGACAACTGGGCATTCTGCTATTCTTCATTCTGTGTTAGGTGTTAGTTCTGGTATGTTTTTCACCCATAGTAGTAGGGAAGGTTTTATGTTTGGGGTTTTTTTTTTTTTTAAGCATTTGACAGATGTCATCAACATGAGTCACTTTCCTTTCAATATGTCTTCACACCAGCATGGAAGATGATGTGTCCATGGGTTACTATAGGTAAGGACTCTTTCACTGGAGAACAGAAATCTGAAAGAGCTTTTGGTGAATAAGCTGTTGAGATTTGAGGATGTCAAGCTCTGTACATTCATATTCTAGAAGCAATTGAAAGTAATTCTCAGAAGAGTCTGATTCAGCACTTAGCAGAATTGAGTGGAAAACCTGCCTATTGACATCTATAGGAATAAGCTTGAATTCCAGAGAAACTAGTCTTTACAAAGAAATTAAGTGTAACTGCTGTCATTCTCCAAATAGTGATCCTGAGGGTACCTGCTGGGAGTGGCTCCTGAATGTCAGCTCAGAGTGCAGAGGCAACTTTATTAACTGTTGTAGAGCAAATAAATCTTGCATTGTCAGTAAGCTGTCTGGAGCCAAAAGTGCAGGTCTTGTCTGTCTGCCTTTTCTACTCCCTCAGCTTCATGGTTGGCCTTGTACTGGTAGAGCTTTACAAGTGGTTGAGAGGAAACCAATGACACGAGGAAATCAGCAGTGGTACTCAGCACTCAGCCTTACTGTACTGTGGGTGTTTCTTCTTACTGTCTGATAATATTTTATGAGGATCTAATTTAACATGCACTAGAAGGCAAACCAGCTGATATCTTGGAGGTTTTTGTCACTTCAGACTGTGCTTGGTGTTGGACGTCTGTATCTGTAATACATTACACATAGAGTTCAAAGGCTTCTTCAAAACCACGGATAGTAGAACCTTCCTGAAATGTAAGTGGTTTGCAGGGTCTGAGCACTTCCTGCAGGCCAGGCCCAGCCATGGGCTGATCTTTGCTTTCTCCATGATTAGCACTTGAGCTGGAACCTTCCAAATGTATTGAAAAGCCCTTTCACTTCTAGGTCATATTTGGTCTTATATTTCTGGACATTATCATGTAAACTATATTTACTTGTGTGGTGGTGATACATACACATCCTTGTGAGAGAGCCTGTCAGATCTTTCTCCCGTGTTTAAATGCAACAAAGTGCATTTTAAAACTAGAGTGGGTAGGCTTTACATTTACTTTATTTTCAAACTTGGAAAAAAGTGCATGTGTGTGGTTGTATTAAAGCAGAGTAAAACACAGCAATGTGTGCAAAATCATA